ATATCTGAAGAAAACAAAAACACTAATTTGAAAAGTTACATGTATCTAGTGTTCATACCAGTATTATTTACAATAGTCAAGATATGGAAGCAACCTAAGTGTCCATCAACAGATGAATGGATATAGAAGACATTATACACACACACACACACACACACACACACACACACACACACACACACAATGGAATGCTACTCAGGCATAAAAAAGAAGGAAATTTTGCCATTTGCAACAACGTGCATGGACTTGGGTGATAATATCATATTATAATACTAAGTGAAATAAGTTGGACAGAGAAAGACAAATGCTGCATGATATCACTTATATGTGGAATGTAAAAAATAAACTAGTGAATATAACAAAAAGAAACAGACTTATAGATTTAGAGAACAAACTAGTGGTTACCAGTGGGGAGAGGGAAGGGGGGAGGGACAATTTAGAGGTAGGGGATTAAGAGGTACAAACTATTATGTATAAAATAAGCTATAAGGACACAGAGAATATAGCCAATATTTTATAATAACTATAAATGGAGTATAACCTTTAAAAATTGTGAATCACTATACTGTATACCTGTAACTTACATAATACTATATATCGACTATACTTTAATTTTTAAAAAGTAACAATTTTTCTTGGCAATGGCTTAAGAAAAATGCCACCCATCAGTCTGCATGAAGGAAACATTGTGTAGTGGACTGAAATGTCTTCAACAACACCAAGAGAACTTCCAGGGGTATGTAATCCCTAGAAAGCAGCTTGTGCTGAAAAGTGACTAAAAGGACAAAAACGAATCAAGTCTAAATGTGAGAGTGGGAGTCTAGATGTAAAACGCAACCTGATAGTTCGAGAAGAAAAGAAAAGATTTGAAAAAGCCATTTAAAAAAATGTCACAGATTTTGCGAAGAGATGAAGTTACAACCTAGATGAAATTATGCAGCATAGATATATTCCAGACCATGTTAACGTGACTTTACGACTTCATTCTGTAGCAAAAATACAATGAACCAAGATCAGGGTTGGAGATTATATATAAAGTCAAGAGGTGAGAAGATTCTGGAATAACAATATAAGGTCAGGAAACTTTATAACTCTTACATTACTTGCACACACATCCACAGTCAAAAAATTATTAATTCATTGATAATAAAGAAGGTAGTTCTTGAAATGATTGATCATGCCCACCTGGGCCAGGCAAGGTGAGAAGTCAAATGAAGTCATAAGGGGTTCATGGATTCTAAAGTAAGAGGAATCAAATTTGTAGCATCTCAGGTGAGGTATAAAGAAATAAAAGAAGTAGAAGGTAGTGTGAGGCTGTGGTCAAAGACAAGGGCTTCAGTTTATAGATAACCAACATTGACCAGTTCCAACAGAGATGAGAAGCAGTACAGTGTGGAAGGAATCATATGGAATTGGAAGTCAGTAGGTCTGAATTCAAAACCTGGCTTTATGACCAAAGAGCATATTAAGGGTATTTAAAAACATCTGAAAAGTAAAAAGATTGGAAAAAAACCTAATCCCCATGTCTTTTCTAGCAATAAAATTAAGTTTTTTAACTAAGCTTTTCTCTAACTACACTGACATCTTAGAAATAGTGGGGGAATTAAAAAGAAAAATCCATTAAAAACACAAGTTTTGTTTTGCATAACAAAGTTTTGTTTTCATAAGACAACATATAAAAGGCTGCAA